TAGTTTAACGGAAAGTGAAAGCTGAAATCCTCTTTCTTCTCACGATGCTACCTACAATGAAAAACTGGATTATCCCTTCAGCAGCTAACTTCCGATGATAATATGAGTTGGGGTAGGGAACTCAAATACGATGAAGGCCAGTTGTAAAATGACTTTGATCTAAGTATTAAGTCTACGCGTTTAACATCGAATTAATATATGCGGCCCAACGGTTTGTTTTCTTGAGCTACCTTACCCAAACATTTCAGGAACATTTCAATGAAATATTGTCTCCCGATGACTTAATGGAAAGCTTGTATTAAAAAAAAAAAAATCACATGTTACAATGGACGAACAAACAGTTTTTGGTGCATGATGTCGTGGCTTGCCGATGAATCACTATTTACGCTACATCAGTGTTTACGGAGTAGTAGGGCAAAGACGGGTCTTATGCATCGGTGAATTGATTCAAGAGGGATTAGAAATACTCTTTTCATGTCCCTTGAACTCGAGATAACCTTCTGAGGTACAGACACTTTGGCCGATGCAGACCTCTCTTGTTCACCCTCGTTCCAAGACTCTCTCTCCTCTGCCTGCCTGGTAACGAGGTTGTCTTTTGTTTTTTAAAATTTCAAATTCAATCGGCGTCATTACAGAAATCGCCTTTCGGTCGCTAATTTTTAAACAAATTAATTAAAATTGAGGAAAAATTATAACCAAAAAAAGTGGCACAAACACTTTCAAGCTTTGTCAGGTGAAAAATACTCGAAAAACTTTCTCTCTTCAACATTTTATTGTACCGAGCAGAATGCCTTGGTCAAACACATTTTGGATAATTAATTCAAGAAATCTGGAAAGAAAGTACTTATCTTGTCGTATCAGACGAAACAAGACTGAATTTGAATTTTTGGCATTGTGTTGATGACAGCAACCGAAAGATTCAACGTTTCAGTGTGTGCATAAATAACTAATTGTTATGTCGGCCCTCTTAGCTCTTGAGTTCAGTTCATTTAATTATTGGGTTTTTGTTTGAAGTAGAACACACTCACTGAGTATAGCTTTCGTTCAGATTCTTTTTAATTGGTTTGTGTATAAAAAGGCCACAGTTAGTTCATCATTATATGTTTACTAATCTGCCCTTTGAATGACACTACAACACGACTCAATGCCAAGGCGATACAGAAACAATCATTCTTCTCGCAGCTTTGCCCCTCGTTCCGAGCCACGAAAGCCCATCGAAACTTCCTAACGAGCCCGCCAGCTACCCACAAACGTACAGCTGATGACATCAGAAAGACATCATAATCATACCAATTCAGGTCTATACATCTATCGCGAACTGCCGGCTTAAACCGTATGGTCTGCGACTGGTTGCGATCCCAAAGTTCCGGTATATTCTTCTAAGTTCTGATAAAAACGGAATTAATAAAATGATGCAATATAACTCACTACAGGAAACACGTATGCGCAAGGTACCACCGCACACTGAAACACTTTTCCATTGTATGAAATGCAATTGAATGTTTTATTGATCTTATTTTAAACAGCACCAAGCCACTAACACCAGACCCGACTATTACAGTTAACAACTAATTATCACATCAGTCGCTGGCATGAAATTTTCGTCCGCCTGAATTGTTCCCATCTAGAATGGGAAACAGCCACGTACTTAATCAATGTTTGAGCCTTCTCTTGCTACAAAATTTCCGTTTGCAACAAGGACCGATGAATACATCGACAAGGCTAAAAACCATTCATAATGTCGACTTATCTTAAATTTAGTTTAAATTTTAATCACATGTAAACAAATATTACTAAATCTATACCCAGGGAAGACGTTAAGGTGTTACTCAAATATTCCATTGACAAATGTATGACAACCCACGCACGATAGCAATTCAAACCAGAACTTTCCATTGATCTTTCCATTGCTGATCTCTGATCCAACTCAGACAACAAACGGTGAGGTAATTAGATTTTGGTCTCTGCCAGGATCTTACAGGACGAACCAATAATACCGTTGGTGTCTAAATTTTTAAGCCACGAATAGCAACAACCTTTAACAATAAAAAGAGTCTTTGTAATGGTATATACTCTAACAACACCTTCTTGTTCCTTTTAAATTGCTCTCCGTTTCTGTTTCCCTTCGGGTATTAATAGCTAGTTATGATATCCGTTTCTGCACCTTTCCAAAATAGGTAAAAAAAGCAGAGCACCCTTAAGTAAATCATATAGTTTCGACAATCAGGTAAGTTGTTGATTATGAGTAAACTCGAAAACTAAAGGTTTTTAACTGGGAAGACGGAAAACGTTTAGCTTTCAGGGTCACTCAGAATAAACACATTAAGGTTAAACTTGAACTTGAGATATGCAATCACTGACATCAAGTTAAAACGGTCAAAATAAAACGAAATCGCAGAGATTTTGTCTTCAGATATTTCTTCAAAGAAAATAATCAAACCAGGTCGTTTAAGTATAATCAAACTGCTTCTTGTTAAATTTCCTTTATCTCCAAA